GATTCCCAAACTGATTCCTTCAATTGGTTGATTGCTCCAACTGCCATAACAAATACAGTTTGGGTGGGATTAAATCCCATTTCCTTAACCTTATTGACAACCTTGCAAAATTTAGAATGTTTGGAACATGCTGCGCCTGGGATGTGAGTCACCAAAAAAGAAATTCGAGATTGAGGCACGCCAATATCTTTCAAAAGAGCTATATTTGGACCAAAATTTTTACTCCTTAAGTCCAGCAAAAATACCCATAGCATGCGCTTCAAAACTTTGACAATTTTTTCGTCATGAATAACAACATTCTTGAGGAAATTGTAATTGGGGATAAGATGATTCTTTAAACTGCTAGATAACAATTTTGGACTCCTAGCTATGAAAACCGCTAGCTCATTCCTTGAAAGCCCTATTGAACGGAAAAACTCGATCTTGGGCGAAAGTGTCTTTGCGGGATCAATTGAAATGACTAGTGGGAACCCTCTCACAACTTTAGAGATCTGGGTTTTGGTGAAACCATGGTCGCTGAGAAACCTAAGGACTGAGTCCGCTCTTTCAGTGTTCTTCAATTGAATAAACTTGGAAGCAGAAACAGCAGATTTTAAAGACAACCCACATGAGTTTGTCAAGTATGAAACTGTCAAAGACTCTTTCAGTTCACTTTGTTTAGTTTCTAACGATCCCTTCTCTAAATGCGAAGATGATGAAAGCAACCTAAGGGGGAAAATTTTATTTTGTGAAAAACCCAGTTGACTAGTTGTGAGATTCAGAGCTAAATACTTCTCAGCAAATACATTTCTTGTTGTTCTACAAAGAAAACGAAACATAATGAACTTAACTTACTCAACTTTAATCTGCATTCCCTAAACTCCTTTAATTCAAACTGCCAATGCCGAGACTACGAAAGCTGAAGCTGAGTATAGAGCTTTCAACGTTCAATTCTGAACCGCCATTGTTTTGTAGTGTTACCTAGTGGGTGTGCTAAGTGCTATGAAGTACAACCCTGCCATTTTATAAAGAGTGAATAACAACTCCCACCCAAGGTTTGTTGTAATTACATTTTTCCACCCAAAAACTTTGAGAAAACAGTTTTCCAGCTATCGTTATTCGTTGAGATCCTAATGGTTGGCTGTGTCTTAACTATACTTCTGGGCCGGAGTTGTTTGCTGACCAAGGTAGTTTTTGTTCTAGATCTGGGCTCAAATTGAATGATGTTATGATGAGTGATACTTCTATTGTTTGAAAATCTTCGCCTATTGGGCAACGGTTGGGCTCCTCTCAACCAACTGGACCGATTGCTGGGAAGAGTAGTTCTCCTGGATCTGGGCAGTTTACTGGTACCCCTAATGGTGTGGGTCGGGTTTCCAACCCGGCTGAACCTTCGCATAATGCCCAAGGACAGATTGCTCCTTAGATGGTTGGTAAATCTTCTAGGGGTTCCCAGGAACGAAAACGAAGCTGGGTCAGTGTTGCTGCAGAGCGTCCGCATAGAGAGAAGATTGTGATGGAGTATCACGAACCGATTTCAGGTGGCTATACTAGGAGTTGTCATATTAAAACATTCTCATATAATCTCTTTGAGATTAAAACTCAAATCAAAGCATCAGTTTTTGTGTACTCATACGTAAACCTTTGAGAATATTGTTTTTATCATGTGTTTAAGCTTAAGAGCATCTCCAAATAACTCTTTGTATAACACAAACTCTTTAGTATAAAGAGTCTATCCATAAAAATAAGAGTTCAACAGGCTCTTTATCTTTAAAATATAAATTAGAGAGTGAGTTTGACCCTCCATATTTAGAGAGTCAAATTTCTCTCTCTATCCTAATTTTAATTAATAAAATACAAGTTTCTATACATTTTATTTATTAATTCTCTCTCCCATTAAGTCTTTTTCTTAAAAATAAAAAACGTCTTCATTAAATTTAAAGAATCTATTGAATTTGAATAAAAATTGTGTTCTTTATATTTAAAAATTAATGAAGATGCTTTTTATTTATATGAAAGATACTCTTCAAAATAAAGAGTACCATTAAAGACGCTCTAAGTTAAGAGAATTTTTCTCAAACTTCTTATCAAACACTTTATAGGCAAAATCCTATAAAGTTAGAAGCGAAATCCTGTGAAAACTAATGTAAAGGCAAAATCCGATTCTAATGAAATTTTCAAGATAGTTGCCTTCAAGAATTTGATATAAAAAGTCTGTGGATTGAGCTTAGAACCACTATAAATCTCTTAGCATTTTTTTTCTCTCAACTCATTTACTTGAAACATTATTCTCATACACATATTTATTGCTCACATTCACATATATATTTCTCATATATTGCTTATTATTGATTATTCATATTGTTTGAATCACTCTCATTCGTTGTTTAGCATCATACATATACTTGTTGATGTTGAGAACTTGAGACTTGAGCGTCATCAAAGTGCTTAGGTTGGCGATAGTTTTATTTCCGGGAATATTTTGAAAGCATCCCTCTTCTAGGACTATTTTGCCATATATGATTTTACAACCATCATGTATTCATGCTCATGACTACATGTACACACGTAGAATGCATATATGTTCAGAGCGAGGACTCTAAAAAATTAATGGATGTTACTTTTTCAAGTGTCCAAAGAGAAAAACTCATCACTCAAGCTTTATACAAGTTTTGACGAATTTTAACCACTTTATGATTATATTAAAAAAAAAAAAAAAAAAAANCGGATGATCCACCGGAGCAGCCATTGAACTGCTTGCGCCACCGGAATCTAGGATTCGAAGTGGCGTTGGGCTTCCCTTCTCATTGTCAGTGTCAGTCATGATTTTGGATTGAATTTGGTGTCAAAGTTTGCAGTTTCGATCGAAAATGTGGACTGTATCGCCGAAAATGGCACAGATTTCGTTTAGGGTTAAGGAAATCGATTTTAGGGTTCAACAAATCGATCGAAAATCGTGACTATATCACCGAAAATCGTGACTGTATTCGGTTTAGGGTTCAAGAAATTGATTTAGGGTGCAAATAAAAAAGTGTTCGATCAAAAAAAAAAAAGTCTCCCTTTCGTTCAAGAAATCGCTTTTTGAACTAATGAATTTCGATTAAGCGAGGTGAATAGTTAGTGGGGCTTGTTTTGCGAAATTTCAAATTTTAAAAACTTTCATTATTTCTGATTCGGCCCACATATGTTTTAATCTTTTAATTTTAACCCATTTTACGTGTTTAATTAATCCTAACCATACCACGTCATCTTCTCTAAATTAAAAAAAAATGATGAACAGTTTCAAGGCCATTTTCTTAAATTGAAACTTGGGATGATCGGGCAGCTAAATTTTCTCGGGAAAATCTTCTTGGAGGAAAACAAAAGAGTGGAGGGCGGAGTTTTGGAGGTGAGAAGCTGGCGGGGGAGATTAGGGAGAAATCGGGGTGGATAAACCCAAGCCTGTCGCTTTGGGCCACTGGGAATCCCTCCTTCCGCCGTGACGTCGCCTCCCTCTGCCTTTAATTGGTTTTTGTTTTTTAGATTAATTTAAACCGTTTTGCCCCTACGCTATTTACCATCCGTTTGAATGTGGAGGTATATTCAGAATTTAGTATATTAAATAAATAGGATTAATAAGGTTGAGTTGAGACTTGAGACCATAAATCCGACTCTTATTAGGTTTTATTAATAATTGCTTATTTTTTTTAAATTCAAAAGTAAATAGTATATTATTTAGCATCTGAATTTAGTCAGACATAGTTTTATTTATGAAAACTTTTTTCCTATTTTTTTATTATAATTTTATGGGTATTAATAAAAGGGAAATTAAATAAATTAGCCAAAAATAGGGGTTATATTTTCCTAACTTTTAAGCAACCAAGCATAACTCAAAATAAAAAAATCTCTTTTTCCTCGTTTTCTAACAATCTTTTTTCACAAACTTTCTCTCATAATCCAGCTCTCAATTGGTCAATTTGTAATTAATTAATAAAACTCATGCAGGACCCATGTGGGATCTATTGTGAACTAACTAATTACGAACTGTTGCATGAGAGAAAGTTTATAAGAGAGAATTGTTATAGTAGTATTATTCAATACCCACCCATCTCACAAAAAGACAACCAGCAAAAACTCAAAAGCCATCAATAAAATCCCCTAACAATTCCAAACCCATAAATAGAATCAGAAAAACTTACCCCAATAGAAGAAAAACCCATAAGCCAAGAGCTCCAAATAGATCTGCAAATAAACACTTTTTCTCTAAAATGAAAGCTGAATAAGAATCAAATTCTAGGAAATAAAGATCAGAAAGAACAGAATCTCATAAGAATAAACATAATCAAAATAATATATAATATATAAATATAAAGTTCACAACCTTCTCTTAATCTCTCTGTATCTTTCTTCTTCTTGTTTTTTTGGCAATTATGGGCAAATGGGAAGACAAAGACTTTAAAGCTGTTCTTCTTAGTTGAAAATGTTTTGAACTTACAGTGAACTTCAGTTTGTCTCTTGTAGTTTGTTTCATCTGTATTTTTTTTTTTTTTTTAATAATTAAAAATTGTTCTCAACCATTGAATTAGTTATATATTTTTTGCTAGTAAAATGTTAATATTTAATAATTAATATAATATAAGCTAATTTTTTACTGTTTTGTGCAAAGGATTTTATTAAAGATATATTTTGAGGAAAAAAAAAATGATAAAAAGCATATTTTATATTTCTCAACAGTGGTTGACTTAAAGATTTAATACAATTTGGAATAATTTAAGTAATTTTATACATTGAATAACCTACTACTACGGCTTAATTTAAGTTTTATTTATTGTACATAAACATCTGGCTGAGGGTCTCCTTGAACATGTCTACTCAATAAAAAATGTTTATATGAAAAAGCCTCCTATTTTATAGTGTACTTGAATATATATTCCAAAACAGGCTTTCTTCTACTCATTGCTCACAACATCAACACAAATTATCATGGCCTTTACCAAAGTGCTCGACACACCCGAAAATGACACATATAAGGTTATGGTTGTTCAAACATGCTTCTTATCCGAATTTGCTGCAACCACACTTTGTCGTTTCTTCCAATCTGCAACTCTACCTGGGAATGCCCTCCTCAAAAATTTCTCCCATGAATAACAGCTCAAAAACATGAGAGAAGCCCAAATCAAAAGTTTATCCCTTAATCCCCGTGGCAAAGGCACCAACTTCAACCAGTCATTTAGGTCCCTAAATAGATCAGACGTAATGACTGTGAAGAAACCAACGGAAGCAATCAGAGCGTACAAAAATGGTTTGTTTTTCAGAGATGCTCCGGTTGAAAGGACGGCCCATGTAGTTTACAGCAAAGGTGGCCACCTGGAGCATCATGCTCACCATGTATGAAACTGTATTCACAAGATTGGGATGAAAATCTGAGTCTGGTTCAATGCATTCATCCGGCATGTACTTCTCAGCCTCTTTCACAGAAGACATCAGGAAAAGCAAGTGAATTGCAAACTGTCCCATGAGAGAAAAAAAGACATATAGGCAGAAAATATTAGGATGGGGTCGTGCAGTTGACAGAGTAAAAAGAGGGGCAGGCATGTGAAATGAATAGGAAAAAGGCACCTGTAAAGACACCACTGATTGTAGCCTGGACATCACCGAGCTTGACACCATCCAAATACATAACACTCAATACATATGCTGTAGCAAGGCAATTTAGGCCAGTATTTTGAACATCTGAAGGGTTGTCACAAGAGTATTACGTCCCTGACGAATTATGTCTGTTGTTGGAGCAACTGATGCATGCTTTGCTGTAAATGATGGCGCCATAGAGGCATCCACAAGCTTGACAATTGGTGCAGAACGACCATCACCCTCCTCATTCATCTCATCCATCAGCTTCTGTCGTTGCATCTCAACAGCCGCCTGATAGCGGTTACCTGTGGTGTGGCTGGCAGAAGAGCCTTCTCCATTCTGACTGATAGGTTTGCCAGCAGCTTCTGATGCAGACTTAGATTTCTTTGATTTACCTGACTTTGTGTTTTCATCTTTAGATGTTTCTGATGATGAGGCTTTGTTTTGAGTTGGAGGCACCGCATTCAACTAAGCAACCCCTATGTGTGCCTGAACAAAGAAAGTATTAGATGTCTACTGCTGCAATCTCTTACAACAGCAAAGCAAAAAGTCAACAACACAAATCTCTGATCATCATGCCCAGAAACAACGCAAGAAAATGTGCCTTGTGCTACAATACTGACAAGTTCCATTTCAATTTCAGCAGAACCAATCAGAGAGAAAGATCCTGCCTTGGTATTATTCCATCATGTCCTCTTTATAGCATGCAGAAAAAAAAATATTTAATAACATGATTACTAGTCCTAGCCCTAAACAAGGCTGATTCAAATAAATACAGAACATTGGAGAGGAGAGGGGAGGGGAGGGGAGGGGGGCATGATGGGCCTAGGTCAATTAGCAGCTATAATTCACAGATTGGCCAAGAGAAGAGTCATCTCTGACTAAAAATGAGACTCAAAATGTTCACAGAACAAGGCAAGGCCGCATGTACCACAAGATAACTCTGAACTAAAAGAAAATATTGCTCCCGGTAGAGCAGAATGGAGCAAAAATATTTCACCTTACCCCAGCTGATGCCATTGAATTCAGATTAACACTTGGTACACCGGATTAAATAAATACTCCTATGAGATTATGCTGAAGATTGGGTTAAAATCTAGCTGGCAATGAAGTGATATTCTACTACATTAGGAAGGAAAAGCAAAATTTATATTTGGACTTTGATTCCGGTAAGTCTATAAATCCATGACATTTCAAAAGATCAATAAACTTAAATACAACACTCAAAGCACTGCACTTATCAGGATTGACAAATACAGACATTAACACAAATAAATTTACATCTTCAAAACCACATTACCTGCTTCAGAGCTCCAACATCATTAGTACCATCCCCACACATCAGTGTCATCCTTCCCACTGTTTTAAAAGTAGTCATGACTAATTCTTTTTGCTCAGGAGCAACTCTTGCAAAAACCTGTACAAATATAGCATACATATCATCCAGATGAAGCTATCATCATAACTACATTGAAACAGATAGTATCATTATAAAACCTTCACATAAGGAATGACTCGTAGAACAGCAGATGTCTGTTGTAACATTTCAATGCAGTCACTTCCAACACAGAGATCATGAGTCTCTGATAAAGCTTCAACCTCTTTCTCACTGCAATCAAATCAAGTACATTCCCACTTTCCTCAGTTGACAAAGGAAAGCTTTTTCAGTTATACTTTAATATAAAGAGCTTTAAATTAAATTTAACAAAAAAAGGTTCATTATATCAATGTTCCTGGCTTCGCCTCAATAAGAAAGTCCATAGAGAAATGTAAACGCATATTGAATCAACTATTTGAGGATAAAACAAGTTTTACAATTGTAAGTTCAAGGCTTTTTCTTTTGGAGAAATGTGTGCGTTCATTGCCATTAAAAACTAGTAAAAGATTAAAGGGTGATCTCAACAAATTGATAATGAGGTAAATAACAACAGGTGAAACTTCACCTGTATGGAATAATCTCTGTTTCATCAGACGATATCCATTCATATCCTCTTACCATTCTTCGAGGGACTAAGAATTAGTGCTGGCTTTGAAACAATATGTACTTGGCTAGCAACATAGCAAGCTGTCAATGCTTGGTCACCAGTGATCATCGCCTATCATTAAAAAATTATATCTTCAGCACGCAATATTGCACAAACTAGAGTCAGGACTCCAGATTCAAAGTTCACGACTTTCTAATATACATAATCGCAACCAAGATACACGAGCATATTACTCACCAAGTCATCGGACGAATTCTTTAATTAAGACAAAATGGTGGCCAAATCTGCTCTAATAGGGCAATTAAATACCTGAAATTTATATTACCAGCATTTACAGAACAAAATAAGAAAATGTAAGTAGTAACAAGCATTCATTAATGAATCTGGTTGAAATATCCCAGAAAAAGTGAATAATCAAAGTATGGATTCATTAAAGAATCTGGTCGAAATATCCAAGAAAAAGAGAATAATCAAAATATGCATTCATTAAAGAATCTGGTTGAAATATCCAAGAAAAAGAAAATAATAAAAATATATAAGCAAATCACAAGAAATTAAAGGAAATTAAAGTTTGCGCTAATTACCGCAAAACCAGCAAAAGTAAGGCCACTCTCCACTAAATCTCTATCCAAGCTTCTTGCTTCACTAACCTTCACGTATTTGACAGATAAAAGAAACTCTTTAGCATAAAAGTAGTAAAATAGGTCGATAAATTGACAGAAAATATTGAAGTACTGAATTTGTGTTATCTAAATAAACTATAATTAAATGTCCTAGCAAACATAATAGAGGATAGAACAAAGAGTACAATGGGCAACAAGAGCTCCTGAGCCCAGAAGATATTTGCGAATTTCAACTTAATTGAAACAACCATTGAGTAACTAACTATAATTTAAAGCCTATTGTCAATAAATAACTATAAATAGTTATATGCCTATGGAAATGTAATGCAGATGGAACATGAAAAGCAACAACATCCGCGAAAGCCATTTCTAAGATCTCTTTAGAAGCGGAGAAATTTGAGAAAAACAAATAGTCAAATTTCTTTATAATTTGTTAGCATCCATACCAAAAAAAAAAAACAATAATAATAATAATAATGGAAAGAAAAAGCAGCAGTATGGTGGCCACTTGCTACTTGTTTGTCCCACTTCACATGGTTTATAGAACATATTAATACAGGTAGCAAACATTATGGGTATTTTTGGATGAGTGAGAAGCAGGCAGATTTACACTTGAAGCTAGGGGTGGGATAAATAATCCGAAAACCGAACCGAAAATTAGGTTTTTTTACAAACCGGTTCGGTTTGCAAAATTCAAAAAACCGGAAAACCGGTTCGGTTTTAAACCAGTTTTACCCTAACTATAAAAACAAAAAAAAAAATTTCTTGCCTCTCTATTTCTCTTCACACACAGTTCAGACTCTTCTCTGCGACTCCGCCTCCAAATCTTAAATCTCCACACTTCCAGAGTTCCAGTTCCAGTCTTCCACACCGTGAGCGACAGAGCTACTACATCCACACCATGAGCTACTCCATCCACACCGTGAGCTACTGAGCTGACCCCAGTACTCCACTCTTCAATCTTCATCAGTCACTCCACTGTCCAGTCACCACTCCATCTTCATTCTTCATTTCTTCGCAGTTCGCACGTTCGCCAGCACCCAGCACTCCAGCAGACTCCACTCTCCAGTCAGGCAGTCACACCACTTCATTCTTCATTTCTTCGCAGTTCGCACGTTATTTTGTGGCTAATGGTTGATTTTTCTTGTTAATTTTGATACCCAGAAGCCCTTTTTTCGTGGGTTTCTTATTTTGCTTATTTTACTAATCTTGTTTTGCTTTCTGGGTTTGTTATTTTGTTAATCTTGTTTTGCTTTCTGGGTTTGTTTTAGTGTGCTTTATGAGTCATCAAAATATGGCCTCTTTTCTTAGACTTCTTCAACTTACATAAATGGTTTCCAAGTCTAGGCACTTGCTATGGCGTCCATGGAATCAACGGTCAGACTAGTTGCATCCATACTGTTCTGGCTGTTCAATTTCACCTAGTGCCAGCAATGAAAACAGCCCTCAAGCTAGCTGGTCCACAGAGAGATTAATAAGCGTTGATCATGTTCAACGCAATTTAAGCTACGAAATAGTTGACAACAACATTGGGTTCAAGTCATATGTTTCAACGGTCAAGATTGTTCCAGAAGACAATGAAGGTGAAAATCAAAGTGGGTGTGTGATTGAGTGGGGGTTCACAGTTGATCCAGTGGAAGGATGGGCATTGGATGTTTAGTGAAGAAGTATGATATGGGCCTACAGTGCTTGGCTAAGAGAACGGAGGATGCATGCAATTCAAGTTTAGATAAGTAATTGACATTTGTTTTGTGGTTGTCTTGTAGTTTATCATTAATCTAATATGCTTATTTTTCTTTAGTTTTGTTGAAAACCGGTTTGAAAACTGGTTAACCGATAACCGAACCGAATATTCGGTTCGGTTTACATTCGGTTTTTAATCGAAACCGGTTCGGTTTTCGGTTTTGATAATCCGGGTCGGTTAACCGGATTATCCCACCCCTACTTGAAGCAATAGTGACATCATTCTTTTTTGGAATAGAATTTTTAGTTTCTGGCTTCCCAGTGAAAGAGAATACCATGATACTGCAATTTTCTTCATATACCTAAGTTGTGCTAGTAAAGTGTTAAGCTGATTAGTTAGAAGGTCAACATTATTGACCTGGTTAATCAAGTGTTCTGTTAAATCTGTTACTTCTGTTTAGCTCTAACAGTTTGTTACATTTCTGTTATTTTTCTAAAGTGCTCATCACTATAAATGAGCTACTACTGTACACTACTCTTTAAGCTGAATATACAAAATTTTTCCAGATTCTTCCTTCTTTGTTTTTCCCTATTTTAGCTTGATAACTCACATGGTATCAAAGCCATTGACAAACAGTCACAAATGGTTGATCTCTCTCAATCCTCACTCAATCAAAACAATTCAGGTCACAAATTGACCTTTGAACCTGGAAGTTTTGTAATTACTCCAACCATGTCTTCTTCAACCTTACCTGTCATTTCTCCCAAAATTGACTAAAGATAACTATAGGTTTTGGAAATCGCAAATTCTATTTGCAGTAGGTTCTTACGACTTGGAGGAGCATCTCACCGGTCTAATTTCATGTCCAACTCCCTTTATCAAAGTTCAAAGTGAAGGTTCTGATGGAATCACAGAGAAGAAACCTAATCCAGCTTATAGCCAGTGGAAAAAGACAGACAAGCTACTAGTAAGTTGGCTTCTTGGATCTATATCTGAATCAATGTTTACAATTGTGTCAAAGTGTTGGAAATTCAGATTTAATTGAAATCCCAAGATTCTTGTATTTAGCAATAATTATAGGGATAGCAGTAATCATAAGGAGTAATTATAATCAATTAGCTGTAAATTAGTAGTTAATTGTTTCATGATTTCTGGGGATTAACTTCCTAGAATAACAATTCATTATTGTATAAATTCTTTGTATTTAGTCATGTTTAATAAGAATTAAGAATTTCATAATTCTCTTCATGGTATCAGAGCTTTAGGCTCTTTTTTGGGATTAGAAATCTCATCCTATAGGCCTTCATTGCCAAGATCCTTTGTGCCCTGCTTGTATCCTGTATTTTTCTTATTCTTTTTCTGTTTAGCCTTCATTGCTAAAATATGTCTTCCACAACCGAGAAAACCACTACCTCCCAGTCTGAAGCAATGACTCTTAATCAAACAATAGGAGAGCTACCTACTATTCAATCTGCTTACAGATTGAATGGAAAAAATCATAGGAAGTGGTCTCAAGTGGTACGGACCTTTCTGAAAGGGGAGGGAAAATTGAGTCATCTCCTTGGTATTGGACCCAAGAAGGGAGATCCTAAATTTGACGCTTGGGATGAAGAGGACTCCATGGTCATGTCTTGGCTATGAAATTCCATGCTACCAGAAATCAGTGATACGTTTATGTTTTTGCCAACGTCTAAAGAAATATGGGAAGCGGCAAAAGAAACTTATTCTAAGGTAAGAGATTGTGCTCAAATCTATGAGATTAAAACTAAAATTTCTGGCATCAAACAGGGAGATCACTCAATCACGAAGTATGCCAATCTCTTGCAGAATCTATGGCAAGAGATGGATCATTATCGGTGCATTGAGATAAGGTGCAGCGGCGATGCAGCTGCATTAAAGAATTTCATTGAAAAGGATCGAATTTATGATTTCCTCGCTGGTTTAAATGTTGAGTTTAATCAAGTGAGAGTTCAATTATTAGGAAAAGAAGATTTACCTTCATTGAATGAGACCATCTCTATCATCAATGCTGAAGAAAGTCTAAGGGGAGTTATGCTTTACTCTCAGCCAGTTGAAGGATCAGCAATGTTGGGAAAATCCAATGATCAGAACCTGAAGTTTAATACTGAAAAGACATCTGCCTACAATACTGCAAATTCAGAAATTGGCAAAATAGAGTCTCGGTCCTCAAACAAGGATAACCTCTGGTGTAACTACTGCAAAAAGCCTCGCCATACCAAAGAGCAATGTTGGAAACTTCATGGAAAACCACAAAGTTCTCAATGGAATAAAGGTCCTAGAGTAGGAACACAACGAAGCCAGGAGAATATGACTCAATCTAGAGAGGACAGGTCACATGATTCTAGTGGTGAAAAGCAACATGAATTTAAGAAAGAAGACATTGGAAGGCTGAGGTCACTCCTTGATTCATTAGAAAAGTCTACAAGTACCTATTCCCTAGCAACTTCAGGAAAACTTTATTCCTTATATGCTTTAAGTGCCTCTAGTTCAGATTTTTCAAATTCCTGGGTTATTGACTCCGGGGCAACCGACCATATGACCCATTCTTCACACAAATTTCTCACATACCATCCCTGTCCTAGCAACTGAAAAGTATCTATACCTGATGGATCTCTGGCCACTGTTGTTGGCCAGGGAGACATTATTCTAAGTCCATCCATAACTCTTAAAAATGTACTACATGTACCTAAGTTATCTACAAATCTTGTGTCTATTCATCAACTTATAAAAGATTTAAACTGCAGTGTGGTGTTTTCTCATATTTCTTGTACATTTCAGGACCAATTTACGAAGATGATGATTGGACATGCTAAGGTGAGACATAGTCTTTATTATCTTGAGTTACCCAACAACCAAGTGAACGATGGGAATAGATCACCTTTCTCTTTCTTGTCCAACAACCCTCATTCCAATAATGACCAAATCTGGCTTCATCATCTTAGACTTGGACACCCTTCCTTTAGTATTGTTCGTGTTATGTTTCCATCCTTGCTTAAGATTGTTAATGTAAACGAGTTTTATTGTGATGTTTGTGAATTTGCTAAACATCGACGTGTATCCTTTAACCTTCGAGTAATAAAAGAACTACGGTTCCTTTTTCCTTAATCGACAGTGATATTTGGGGTCCATCTCGAGTTCCCAACATCTCTGGGGCCCATTGGTTTGTCTCGTTCATTGATGATTGCACTCGAGTTTCATGGGTTTATTTGCTAAAACAAAAATCTGATGTGAGCACCATCTTTCCTATTTTTTCATAAAATGGTTAAAACTCAATTCAATGTTGGAATTAAGAGGTTGAGAACAGATAACGCTAGAGACTATT